TAAAAAATTATAATGTGTTGAGCCTCAAAGATATGGGGGCCAGGCACCAGTGGCTCACGCCTGTAATCCTAGCTACTCAGGAGGCTGAGATCTGAGGATCATGGTTCAAAGCCAGCCTGGGTAGGAAAGTCTGTGAAACTCTAATCTCCAATAAACCACCAGAAAACTGGAAGTGGTGCTGTGGCTCAAGTGGTAGTGCACTAGCCTTGAGCTGAAGAGCTGAGGGACAGCGCTCAGGCCCAGAGTTTAAGCCCCACGACCAAAAAAAAAGATATAGGGAAGGGGAATTTGAACTATTGCTTAACTCTGTATTCTAAGGAAGCAAGTAGAAGCTTGAAGATGTTATTCAAGAAGAGCACACAAAGCCTGGCTTTTCCCATGAATGACTGGTGTGTATTCACAGGTACATGCCCATCCTAGGGCTTGAACTCAGAGCCTGGATGCTATCCTTTAGCTTTATTTCTCAAAGCCAGTGCTCTACACTTAAGCTATAGCTCCACTTCTGGCATTTTGGTGGATAATTGGCGATAAGAATCTTACAACCTTTCTCTGCCCATGCTGGCCTCCAACCTCAATCCTCACATCTCAGCCTCCTAAGTACCTGAGTCACCAGTGCCTGACTATTGAATGTGTCTGAAAACATGAGAGAGCTCGGAATATAGCTCAAACCTTGTTTCTTCCTTATAAATATTGTTTACTTTAGAGCAAAATATATCAAGCTATAGTTTAGTCCTATATGTTTTTCTCCAACAGGATTTAGCAAATCTTGTTGTATGACATATCTCAATTGCTTTCAGTATCTCATATCTCTTAATCACTCTCCTTACACATGACAAATAAAGAAGTATATCTGAAGGCACTTCCTCAGTGCCTTACTGAAGGCTTCTAACCAAACAGATACACTATATTTTATTTTCTTAGTAATTATATATATTAGTAATCATATATACACACATATATGTGTATATATATATATATATATATATATATATACACATATATGTACATATATGCTAGAGGAAATTGGACTTTTCCAGAAAGCCATGCAGATAGCCAGGTACAGAAGACAAAGAAAGGTTTATAGCCGAGAAAGGGGCCGGCAAAACCCTTCTCACACGGAAGAAGTAAGAAGAAGTACCGGCTATTGTCTGAGGTGACCTATATAACCTAGGAGGTTTAGGAGGGGCTAGAAGGGGCTAGGAGGAGGAGACCCTGGTGTGGACCTGAGGTCCAGGGGCTTCATAATGGTGGACTGGGATTTATGGCTGTTGTTCAAGTAGTAGATAAGAGGCCCTGCAGCTGCCCAGACCTGAAGGTCACTCTGAGGGGCTCTTGCTGCCTTACATGGTGGTAGCTGCCCCAGAGAAGTGCCATCCCAAGGTAAAGAGGGCTGGAGGCTGATTATTTACTGCCTTTACTATAGGCCTAATATTGCCTAGGAAGGGAGCATGCTAAGCTGTGGTGAAAGGAAGGAGTGTACTAAGCTGTGGGAAGGGAGCTCATTGGCTAACAAAATGTGTGTGTGTGTGTGTGTGTGTGTGTGTGTTTGATGCCAGACCTGTGCCTTGAACTCAGGGCCTAGCACTGTCCCTGAGTTTTTTGCTCAAGGCTAGTGCTCTACCACTTTAGGCATAGTTCTCCTTGCGGCTTTTTGTTGATTGGGGTCTCATGGACTTTCCTGCAGCTGGTTTAAAACTGATCTTCAGATCTCATCTCCCCAAATAGCTATGATTACAGACATAAGCCACTGGCACCCAGCTCATGAATCATAACTTTTAAAAAATTATTTTATTATAAAGATGCTGAACAGAGGGGTTACAGTTACATGAGTAAAGTAATGAGTACGTTTCTTACCAAGCATTATTACCCCCTCCTTTGTTTTTCTCCTTATCCCTTCCCTCCCCCACCTCCCCCATTCCTCCCCACCCCAAAATTGTAAAGTTCATTTCTGACATAGTGTCTTGTGAGTATTATTGTTGCAATGGATCATCCTGTGTCCTTGTTTCAGCATTTTTTTATTCTCCTTCCCCTCCCCAAATTAGGTAAATGCATATACAAGATGCAGGGTACAAAAACCAAATACAGTGACAACAGGGAATATACCAAAGGAGGAAGAACATATTAAAGAAAAAAAATCACATAATACATTAAAAACAACAACAACAAAGAAAAACCTCTTGTGTCCATATCTTGGGGTTCATTTTACTAAGCATCATCTTATATGGTCATATGTACATAGCTTTTGACCTTTTCTGCTTATCTGATAAGACTATCCTAGACATACACTAATTATTGCAAATTAGGGAAACCATGGGACTTATATTTCTTTGCATCTGGCTTACTCCACTTAATATGATTTTTTCCAAGTCTTTCTATTTCCTAACAAATGGGGCAGTGTCATTCTTTCTGATGGAAGCATAGAATTCATATATATATATATATATGTATATATATATGCACACATATATACATATATATATATGCCATATTTTCTTGATCCATTCATCTACTGAGGGGCAGCTGGGTGAATAATGCTTCAGCAAACATAGTTGTGCTGGTAGCTTTAGTATGGTCTTGTTTGTAATCACTGGGGTAAATGCCCAGAAGTGGGCTTGCTGGGTCGTAGGGGAGCTCTATGTGGAGTCTTTTGAGGAACCTCCATACTGCTTTCCAGAGTGGTTGAACAAGTTTATATTCCCACCAACAATGCAGTAAGGTTCCCTTTTGGCCACATCCCCTCCAGCATCTGTTGTTATTAGAGTTCTTGATTATAGCCATTCTAACTGGGGTGTGGAATCTCAATGCTGTTTTGATTTACATTTCTTTTATGGTTAGAGAAGTTGAGCGTTTCTTCATGTGTCTTTTGGCCATTCTTATTTACTCTTCAGAGAAATCTCTCTTTAAGTCTTTAGCCCACTTATTAATGGGGCAGTTGTTTCTCTGAGGATCTGTTTTTAGAGTTCTGAGTATATTTTAGATATGAGGCCTTCGTTGTATGTCTAGTGAAGATCTTCTCCCAATCCATGGGCTTTCTATTGATCTTGGTAGCTATTTTCTTTGCTGTATAGAAGTTCTGCAATTTCATGCAATCCCATTTATTCAACCTTTCTCTGATTTGTTGTGTTTCTGGCTCTTTATTAAGAAAATTTTGGCCTGCACCATTGAGCCCTAGAGTTTCTCCTGTTTGTTCTTATAATGTTTCCAGGGTGTCTGCTTTTACTTCGAGGTCTTTGATCCATTTGGAGTTGATTCTGGTGCAGTGTGATATATAAGGATCTAACTTTAGTTTTCTACAGGTGTTTAACTGATTTTGCCAGCACCATTTCATAACTTTTTTTTTTTTTTTGTCGGTCATGGGGCTTGAACTCTGGGCCTGGGCGCTGTCCCTCAGCTCTTCAGCTCAAGGCGAGCGCTCTACCATTTGAGCTACAGCGCCACTTCCGGTTTTCTAGTGGTTTATTGGAGATAGAAGTCTCATGGTCTTTCCTGCCCGGGCTGGCTTTGAACCGCGATTCTCAGATCTCAGCCTCCTGAGTAGCTAGGATTACAGGCGTGAGCCCCCGGTGCCCGGCTTCATAACTTTTTAATTTAAACTTTTAATCTGAATTCCCCTTGAAGTGGGGGTAGCTTGGCCTTTGCCCAAGCATTCATTTTTCTATTCTTTTTTTGGTTATGGGGCTCGAACTCTAGGCTTGGGCACTGTCCCTCAGCTCTTTAGCTCAAGGCTAGCTTGAGCCACAGGTGGTTTATTGGAGATAAGGGTTTCATGGACTTTTCCTGCCCAGGCTGGCTTGAACCAACCCTCAGATCTCAGCCTCCTTAGTAGCTAGGATTATGGGTGTGAGCCACCAGCGCCCAGCATCATTTTTCTATTCTTTCTCTAAGCGTTTGTCTGATTTCTGTGACACTCTTTCCCTCTTGTTCTTTTGGCCCATTTCTGGCAGTCCATCTGTTCTGTTGGTGATCATTCTGTATTCCTCTTTCACTTCCTGGTGGCTACAAAGCTACACATTAGAAGCAAAGCGCTATAGGACCAGAGGGTGCTGAGGAGTGGTCCTTCTGCCCAGGCAAAGCAAGGCCCAGGAGTTGGAACTAGCCCTACAGCCGCCACTCAACCGGTGTGCAGTGGAGGTGGGGCAAGCACCTCAGCCTGCTGTGGCCAGGTACCTCTCCGCAACATTTACTGGGAACATAATTACCTTTAATTACCCACAGTGCAATCCATTGCAATAATGCATTATACCAGACATGTCCTTCCTTCCTTCCTTCCCTCCTTCCTTCCTTCTTTCTTTTCTTGTGCCAGCCCTGGAAGCTTGAACTTGGTACCTGAACACTTGTCTCTGCATTTTTTATTTTATTATATTTTTACTGAAGGTTAGCGCTCTACCGTTCAAGCAATACCTCCACTTCCAGCCTTTTGGTGGTTAATTGAAGATGAGAGTTTCCTGTACTTTCCAGCCTGGGCTGGCTTTGAACCACAATCCTCAGATTTCAGCATCTTGAATAGCTAGCATTCTAGGTCTGAGCTACTGGCATATGGTTCTTTTTCTTTTATTATTTTGTGCTAGTACTAGAGCTTGAATTCAGGGCCTTTAGCTTTTTTTTTTGATCAAGGCTGGCACTCTACAATTTGAACAACAGCTACATTTTGAGCTTTTTGCCAGTTAATTGGAGATAAGAGTCGCATAGACTTTTGTGCTTGGTCTGGTTTTGAACTTTGATCCTCATATCTCAGCCTTCTGAATGGTAAGGATTATAGACGTGGGCCAAGAGTTTCAGGCTTAGCTTTGAATTACATAATGAACTAGCATTGGCAGAGTGCTCCTTTATTTGGTGGGGTATTTATTAAGGTTTTTAAAGCAGGGTAAGTAATAGGATCCACACTTTGGACACTGTTAACAATTGATGTTAACCATGTATATTCACCTTAGCGATTCTAAAATTAAAGGTCAGAATGTATTTTCTAGTTATGACCTCAGGATTTCGTTTCTTTGCTTTAGGATCCTATTGACTTCAGTGACATTGCTGTCTATATATTCAATAAACCTCCTATTGATCTGCTCCAAGGAAACAGGTAAGCTGTGAAGAGATCTAATTGTGTTAAGGCCATGATTTTCAGGATGATATTATGAATAAGTGAAGTTCTCCTTTAAGGATAACTGGATTATTAATGATGACTGTGATCATTAGTAGTAATTTACTTATTTATTTATTCTGGGACTTAAACTCAGGTCTTTGCAGCCTCACTTGTTTTTGTTTTTGTTTTTTCTTTCTCAAAGCTGGTGCTCCACCCCTGGAGCCACAGCTCTATCTCTGCCTTTTTGTCAGTTAATTGGAGATAAGAATCTCACAGACTTCCTGTCCAGGCTGGCTTCAAATAGGGATCCTCAGATAAACTCTCAGCCTCCGAAGTAGCTAGGATGACAGGCGAAAGCCACCTTCGCTCCTCAGCCAGCACTGGATTATGTCAAGAAATAAAGGAATCCTTTGACCTTCTATGGAAAGACTGACGGTGGCAGCAACACCGAAATCAAATGGACACGAACACTGAACAAATACTGTTGTCACTCATTCTTGTTCTTCTGGTTTGTGATGACATCACTGGAAAGGCGTCAATCTTTCTTTAGGCCTTTATAAATCCTGAGCAGAGTGTTTGTGAAGTAAACAGATGTTTTATCCTCTGTGGCGCATATTCCAAGGAGAAATTGTTCCTCCTGAGGCAAGGTGGAGTGCCCTAGGACGCTGAGTTCTCTGGACAGTACAATACCTGACATGTTTATTTTCCATTTCTGAATCACTGGATTATGTTCATGATACTTTGACTTTTACATTAGCTCAAGCCATATTGGCCAGCTATTGTATACAGATGCCTGGAACATTTTGTCATAAATTCAGCATCTAGTCATTGTCTAGTTTAAACACCAGTCTTAGGAGAGATTAAACAAAGGTTTAATTATAGCCTGACCCATATTGCTCTTCTGTGAACCTTTTGAAAACCTGGACTTCAAACTGTCATGATTTTAATGAATGTTTTCGGATTTTAGCATTGAGTGAGATGAGCCAGTTGATCAGTTTCACATTTTGGTGACATCAGTTTATTCTTTGGATAGCTCTATCCACTGCTTTCATTTTAGAAGTGAGCTATCTTTCACCTAAATTTCACAAATGATCAGAATTTTTACGTAGTAACTGTTAGATGTAGCTAAATTTGGTGTTTTATTTTAGATCAGAGAGACTGAGATGTTCTGAAACCATTGTGTGTGTGTGTGTGTGTGTGTGTGTGTGTGTGTGTGTGTGTGTGTGTGTGTGTGCCAAAACTGCAGCTTGAACTCAAGGCCTGGGAACTGTCCCTTTGCTTTTTCACTCAAGGCTGGCACTCTACTACTTGAGCCACAGCTCCACTTTCAGATATTTATTTAATTATTATTATTATTGTCATTATTGTTATTTTTTGCTGGCTTGAACTCTGGGCCTGGGTGCTGTCCCTGAGCTTCTTTTGCTCAAGGCAAATGCTCTACCACTTGAGCTACAGACCCAATTCTGGCTTTTTTGAGTAGTTTATTGGAGATAAGAGTCTCACGGAGTTTCCTGTCCAGGCTGGCTTCGAACCATGATCCTCTGATCCCAGGCTTCTAAGTAGCTAGGATTACAGGCATGAGCCACTGGCACCCGACTTTACTTTCAGATTTTTGCTAGTTAATTGGAGATAAAAGTCTCACAGATTTCTTTGCCTGGGCTGGCTGTAACGGTTTCAATCCTCAGATCTCAACCTCCTGAGTAGGTATACAGGAATTACAGGTATAAGCCTCTGGCAGCCAGTAAGATAATTCAAAAGGTACTCTTTTTTTTTTTGGTCTCAAAAAATGAAAATCTTTTAGAAATCAAACATTTTAAGAGTATATATATCAAACCTGTAAAAAAAATATCAGAGTGGGTATTTCCCCAAGAAAGGTAGAGATGGTTTAAAATAACTTTTATGACCTCATAGTTCAGTTACTTTCCTACTTCTTTAGCCAAGTGAAAAAGCAGAAATGGAGCTCATGGCTGACATTTAAAAATGTCAGGAACTTGATTCATCATGCCAGTACCTTAGCCTGCAAAGCCAACATGGGAGTTCTGTAGAAGCACAGAGCAACCTGGTGAATAAACAATGTATAACGTCTTGGCTCTTTATTTTTACTTTTCATTCTTTGTGCCGGTCCTGGGGCTTGAATTCAGGACTTGGAGGCTGTTCCTTTAAGCTTTTTTTTTTTTTACTCAAGGCCAGTGTTCTACTATTTGAGCCACAACTCCACTTCCAGCTTATTGGTAGTTCATTGGCAATAAAGATCTCGTGGACTTTCTTGCCTGGGCTGGCTTTGAACCCTGACCTTCAGATCTCAGCTTCTTGAGTAGCTAGGATTATAAGTGTGAACCACTGGCTCCTGGCAAGATGTTAACATGTTAGCCTTTAGAACCTTGTCATTTTTTTTTCTGTGACCTTAACTTTGTTTCTTTAAATAGGTTGCATGGTTTATGAAAAATTAGGTGAGCAGGTCTTTGGTACCACAGGGAAGCTTGTAATCTTCGGAGCTACATCTCTACAGAACACTGGAGGTAAAGCAAAAAGAAAAAGGAACAACATACATTTTTATACATAATTTCAAACTGGGTGACTATCATTATCTTTCCTATTTTGGTGGTTCAGTGTCCATATGAGATTTATCGGAATTGAAGCAGCTCCTATCTGATGGTTAAAATGTCGCAAGGGAAGGAAGAGACAACCACTTACTTAGAGATGAATATATTGCCAGAGTGGGAGGCTTAGCTACCTGCTTCTGGTCATGGGATGTGAACTCAGGACCTGGGCTCTGCCTCTGAGCTTTTCTGCTCAAGACCAGTGCTCTCCACTTCAGCTCCACTTCCAGTTTTCTGGTGGTTAATTGCAGGCAAGAGTCTCATGGACTTTTCTGCCCAGGCTGGCTTCAAACTATAGTCCTCAGATTTCGGTCTCCTGAATAGCTAGGATTATAGGCCTGAGCCATCAGCGCTCAGCATTTGTTTTTCTTTTTTTTTTGTGGTGTTTCCTCCTAAGTCTTGAACTCAAGGCCCAGGTGCTGTTCCTCAGTTTTTGTGCTCAAAGCTAGCATGTACCACTTGAGCCTGTTATATCACCACTCCCAGTTTTTTTTGGTGGTTAATTGGAGATAAAAGTCTCCTGGACTTTCCTGCTTGGACTGGCTTCAAACCATGATCCTCAGATCTCAGCCATCTCAATAGCTAGGATTACAGGCATGAGCCACCAGCTAACTTCAAGAACACAAGCAGCTTGTGTTCTTGAAGTTCGTCTGGAAACTGAATTGTCACATCTCACAAAAATTGTAACATGTGCCTTAGGATTGTCTTCCTAAAAACATTCTCATTTTCCTCCAGCAATGCTGAGCTATCTCTTCATAGTCAAAAATGAACTTCCTTCCGCCATCAAGTTCCTCATGGGAAAAGAAGAGGAATTTCCGTAAGTTGTGGACCATTCTTTGTGATAGAACCAACATGTTTTTGATTTAAATGCAGGCTAACCGAGGCTTTTGATTTAAGAAAATTTCAGAAATGCAAATTTTCCTAGGCTCTTTTTTTCTTGATGTGTGGTTCAATAATATGTTTATTGGGGATAATATAGATAAAAGAAGCAGGATGAACTCTTTATGAAAATTGAGAGGTAGGTTTCTCTGTCATGCTATAACTAGTAGATTTACATTGTCCCAAAGAGCCTGAAATCTCTATTTAGTTTTTATGAAATAAAATAGATACTGAGGGTTTTTTTGGATTATTTTGTTTTTCTTTTTTGCCAGTCCTGAAGCTTAAACTCTGGGCTTGGGCACTGTTCCTATGCTTTTGTGTTCTAGGCTAGTGCTCTACCACTTGAGCCACACCCCCACTTCCAGCTTTTTGTGGTTAATTGGAGATAAGAGTCTCATAGACTTTCCTGCCCATGCAGGCATCAAACCATGATCCTCAATTTTCAGCCTCCTGAGTAGCTAGGATTAGATGTGTGAGTCACTGGCACCTGGCCAGATACTAAGTATAGTAATTTTATCCCAGAAGTAGAACATAAAAGAGCTGGTGACTCACACCTGTGATTCTAGCTACTCAGAAGGCTGAGATCTGAGAATCTGTGAGATTCTTCTCTCCAATTAAACACCAAAAAAACCCCAGAAGTGGACTTGTGGTTCAAGTGGGAGAGCACTAGCCTTATGCAAAAGAGCTCCATGCCTAGGCCTTGAGTTCAAGCTCTAGGACCAGCATGCACACACACATGTGTGTGCACACACACACATACACACACAAATGTAGAATTGAGCCAATCTCAATAGATAGAGCTAATCTTGGGGAATATTGTTTTTGATGTTTTGATTCCTTGTTTAAAACTTTTTGTCAGCCTTAGTTTTTCTGTCTCTCCTACCCTACCCCAAAAGAAGATTACAGAAACCAGAGTGCCTAGTGTTTTATCCTAGGGTATAAAGTCAAATCCAAGGTCAAACCTTGGAGAGAGAAATGCCTATGTCTGGTGGCTTGCTTCCCCATGATACCAGCCAAGCCAATCCAAAAGGAACTTTCTGTTTGAATATTTAATAGCACAGCTTATAATCTGACAGATGTAATATATGCATTCAGCTTTGAAATCACATAAATAATTCACAGGAATGTTACATTTAGCCAAAAGGACAGGAACAAAACAAAACAATATCTCTTGGTCTCTAACCTGGGAGCAGGGTCCTCGTACAGGAGAGTACTACCTATGTTTAAAGTGTTTGAGGGCTGGGAAGGTGGCTCAGTGGTAGAGCGCTTGCCTTGCATGCCTGAAGCCCTGGGTTCGATTCCTCAGCACCACATAAGCAAAAAGAAAAAAAAGCTGGAAGTGGCGCTGTGGCTCAAGTGGTAGAGCGCTAGCCTTGAGCTGAAGAGCTGAGGAACAGCGCCCAGGCCCAGAGTTCAGGCCCCACGACCGGACCCAAAAAAAAATAAATAAATAAAGTGTTTGAATAAACTTGAATAATTGTCTAAGGAGAAAACAAAGTAATGGCCCAGCCCCATTGGCTCAAGCCTATAATCCTTGCTACCCAAGAGGCCAAAGTTTACGGGATCTTGGTTCAAAGCCAACCTTGAGCAGAAACGTCTGGGAAAACTCCATTTCCAAAAATAACTACCAAAAAACCAGGGCTGGAGGACTGGCTTGGGCAGTAGAGCACCAACCAAGCATATATAAGACCCTCAGTTCAAATCCTGATATTCTAGAAGAACAAAATAAAAAGGTAAGAAAAACAAAACAAAAAAAAAAACCTCAGCAATTAAAATTAATGTAAATATATTGTAAAAACTTACTTTCGAGGGGAAAAAGAAAAGTCTTCCCTTTTTGGTGTGCTGGTCCTACAGCTTCAACTCAGGACCTGGGCACTGTCCATGAGCTTTTCTGCTCAAAGCTAGCACTCTACCACTTCAGCTGCAGCTCCCTTTTTGGCTGTTTTTGGTGGCTAATTGAAGATAAGAGTCTCTCAGACTTTTCCTGCCTGGGCTGGCTTTGAACCTCCATCTTCAATCTCAGCCTCCTGAGTAGTTAAGATTACAGGTGTGAGCCACCAGCGCCTGTCTAAAAATGTCTCTTTCTAAACAACAGCAACAAAAAATAACAGTAGCTGCTTCCTTGACTTTCAGAGCCTGGTATGTGGATGGACGCGTGCTGGTGGTGGTGGTGACCTTCGGCATAATTCTCCCTCTGTGTCTCTTGAAGAACTTAGGTGAGGAGAAACTTTGTGTCTGTTGTCTCTACACTACCCAGAGAAGTCAGGAAACTCCTGAAAAGGAACAGCTTTGCCTCCTATCCCACACGTAGTGTAACGATCCAGCAATCAAATTGCAAGCATGAAGCTACCTGCCTTGCCAATGAGCAAGAAATGCTGGTTAGTACAGGACATGTTGAGCAATCGCCTCTTGTGTCCAAAGAGCCAGAGTGAGGAGAAAGAAAGTTATGAAAGAAGCACAAAGGCTACTATTTTCACTGGTGTAACACACTGCTGTGAAAATTCCAGAAAGTGGAATTCTCTTAGAAGGTGTTCTTTGTTTATTTGTTTGATGTTTTCACAGTGCTGGAGATTGAACCCAAGGCTTTGTACAGGGGTTGGGGCAAGGGGGTGGGGTACGTTCTAGCCCTATCTATACACCCAATCTAGCATTCTTGTTTGTTTTTGTTTTTCATTTGGGGACACAGTCTTGCCATGTAGCTCAGGCTGGCCTCAAACTTCACCTCTTCGGGGCTGGGATTATAGGCATGCTCCACCAGCCTGAAATCTTAAATACTCAGATTTAAGCAACTAGATTTTCAAATCTAAATCTCAAGACAGACTACTGCTCTACTTATACCCCCAAAGTATTATGAATCATCTCTAAATTTAGATTTCCCTTGTTCAAAGGAGAGAGAGAAAATTCAAAGGTGACAGGTGATCTCCAAGTTATATTCGGTTGGTTTTGACTCTGTGTGTGTGTGTGCATGCATGTGTGTATATGTGCACATGCGTGTGAATATAGGCACAAATCCTGGGGCGTGAACTCAGAGCCTTGATGCTGTCCCTGAGCTTTTGTATTTAAGGCTAGTATTCTACCACTTGAACCACAGCTCCACTTCTGGCTTTTTGGTAGTTCATTGGAAATCAGTTTCATGGGCTTTCCTGCCCAGTCTAGCTTTGATCCAGCCAGGGTCCTTAGCTGTCGGCCTCCAGAGTAGCTAGGATTACAGGCATGATCCACCCACTCATAGGTTGACATTTGTTTTTATGCTTACATAGAGACAAGTCTAGTCTCTAAATGCCATAGGAATTTCATACATTGAATAACAAGATCAGATTATAGCTGATTAAAAAATCTCTAAAGTGCATTTCCTATAAAGTTGGCCTAATTCAAAGCAGAAGCTTGGATTCATGTCCTTTTCTGTTTTGGTTTTAAAATGTCAAAAGTTTTCTAGTATTTAGCAAAACTTTCTCTCTCTCTCTCTCTCTCTTTTTTTTGACAGTACTGATATTTGTATTCAGGGTCTCATCTATGCTAGGAGGGAACTCTACCACTTGGGCCATCCTTATAGCCAGTGTTTAGGGAATACCTAAGTAAAAAAAACATTATTTTTGGTGCCAGTCCTGGAGCTTGAACTCAGGGCCTAGGCACTGTCCCTGAGTTTTTATTCTCAAGGTTAGTACTCTTACCACTTGAGCTACAGCTCTACTTGTAGCTTTTTGCTGGTTAATTAGAGAGAAGAGTCTCATGGATTTTCCTGCCCAGGCTGGATTTGAATCACAATCCTCAGATCTCAGTTTTCTGTGTAGCTAGATTACAGGTCTGAGCCACTGGCATCCGACATTTAAATATCTTTTAAAACTACTTAATTTTCTGCTTTCTGGGTCTGTGTAGGCTTTGCTGTGCCAACAGAAGTGCTCTTTAAGTTGGTATCAAAAAAATTCCTGGGGCTGGGAAGTTGGCTCAGTGGTAGAGTGCTTACCTTGCATTCATGAGGCCCTGGGTTCGATTCCTCAGCACCACATAAGTAGAAAAAAGCCAGAAGTAGTGCTGTGGCTCAAGTGGTAGAGCACTAGCCTTGAGCTAAAGAGCTGAGGGACAGCGCCCAGGCCCAGAGTTCAGCCCCCACAACTGGCAAAAAAAAAAAAAAAAAAAATTCCTTCCTAAGGATGAGAGGAATGCAGTTCCCCAAAGCTCACTCGGCTTCTCAGTAGAGTTTGATGTCAGCCATCAGATCTCTCCCAGGCATTCTGAAGGGATGGGAGAGAGGCCCTCTGATCCTCATTTGTCCTTAGAATCCCACGTCATCTTCTGGGGCCTGCATCTTACTTAGGAGAGAAGTGTTGTACCCGATTCAGCACACACACAATAAGGGCAGAATAAAGATCCGTGGAGGAGACCAGGTACCCATGGCTCATACCTATAATCCTAACTACTCAGGAAGCTGAGATTTGTGGATCATGACTGGAAGCCAGCCTGGGCTGGAAAAGACTGTACAATTTTTATCTCCAATTAAACACCAATTAAACTTGAGCCACCGCTCAAGTGTTAGAGTACTAGCCTTTTGGGGGAAAAAATTAAAAGCTGAGGAATAGCACCCAGGCCCTGAGTTCAAGTCCCAGGACTGGCACAAAAAGGAAAACAATCTACAGATGTGGTTAAGAAGGGATTTGTCCATCACGTATTCAGAGATAAAACCATGGGGCTCCTCCCTGGATTCTAGGAATCTGAGGTCTAGAGTGTTCAGGAAAGCCCCAGAATCAACACAAAGTATAACACTTTCATTCAAAGTCCTCCTTTTCACCAAATAAACTAGCAAAAGCAAATAATACATGTTATATGCACATAGGTGTAAATGCACTATTTTTTTTGTCAGTTGTGGGGCTTGAACCCAGGGCCTGAGTGCTGTCTTTGAGCTTTTCTGCTCAAGGCTAGCCCTCTGCCACTTTGAGCCCCAGCACCACTTCCTAAATGCATTTTATCACTATTTTTTAATTATAAAAGTTACATAAGTTAGGTAATGAGTACATTTCCTTTTGAGTAGTGTCACCCCCTCCCTCATTTTCTCTCAGTTTTCCCCCTCACAACCCTCCCTCCCTGGTTGTATAGTTCATTTCCAATATAGTGTCTGGTGAGTATCACTGCTGACGAAGTCCCAAATTATGCTTAAAATAATACATTGAAAGCTGGGTGCCAGTGGATCACACATAATCCTAGCTACTCAGAGGCTAAAATGTGAGGATAACTGAAGCCAGCCTGGATGGGAAAGTCTGAGACTCTTCTCTCCAGCTAAGTACCAAAAAGCAGGAAATGAAGCTGTATTCTAAATGCTAGAGCACAAACCTTGAGTGAAAACGCTAAGACACAGCACCCAGTTCAAACCCAAGTACCAGCTTGCACGTGTGCATGTGTACACACACACACACACACACACACATATTTTTTTAAAAAACCTTGAAGTAGTGAGTGACTAGGGGTATAGCTTAGTGGTAGAGCATTTGGCTCACATGCATAAGACTACGTTCAATTCCCAGCACTACCACCAAAAAAAGGAGAAACAACAAATGAGATATTAGCAATGTACTTTTTGCTCTTTTAAAGGTTATCTTGGCTATACCAGTGGATTTTCCTTGAGCTGTATGGTGTTTTTCCTAATAGTGGTAAGTAGTGATTGAATCAGTTGGCTTGGTTGTAACATAATCTACTGCAATATAACAATTATTTATGATTTAGCTTTCCTAACATCTACATTGTTTCTCTGGTATTTCTAAATGCCAGGTTATCTATGAGAAATTTCAGATTCCCTGCATTGCTACAGCCCTCAATGCAACAAGTCTTAATTCAACAAACAGTGATGTGTGCACGCCAAAATACGTCACCTTCAATTCTAAGGCAAGTTTCCTTCTGCTTCTCAAAGAAGCATGAGTATTTTGACTAAAGGAAGTACATTTTATCATACAGGTCATAATTGCAGTTATGATGTGTGAATGTGTGTGTATGTGTACATGCGTGTGTATGTGCGTATGCACATGTGTTGGAACTGGGACTTGAACTCAGGACCTCAGGCTCTTGCTTAGCTTCTTTACTTGAGGCTGGAACTCTACCACTTGAGCCACAGCTCCACTTCCAGCTTTTGAGCCACAGCTCCACTTTCAGCTTTTCAGTGGTTAATTCGAGATAAGCGTCTCACAGACTTCCCTGCCCAGGCTGGCTTTGAACCATGATCCTTAGTTCTTAGCATCCTGGAGTAGCTAGGATTACAGGTATGTGCTACCTGAGTCCAATTGAATGTACTTATTCTTTTTTTTTTTTGGCGGTCGTGGGGCTTGAACTCTGGGCCTGGGTGCTGTCCCTGCGCTCTTCAGCTCAAGGCGAGCACTCTACTACTTGAGCTACAGCGCCACTTCCAGTTTTCTAGTGGTTTATTGGAGATAGGAGTTTCATGGTCTCTCCTGCCCAGGCTGGCTTTGAACTGTGATCCTCAGATCTCAGCCTCCTGAGTAGCTAGGATTACAGGCACGAGCCACCGGCGCCTGGCTGAACATACTTACTCTTAAAAACACATAGTACCATAGCTTCTGTATTCACAATACATTCAGAGACCATTAAAAAATAAATCTCTCTCTCTTTCTTCTTTCTCTCTCTCTCTCTCTCTCTCTCTCACACACACACACACATATACCCACTTAACCCAGCTTAGTACAGCCTTGAGTATTGGCTATGGAAATCTGGATACTAGTCTCACCTCATTTTTTCTGTGCAGAATACTGAATAATGCTTTTATTTATTTTTTTAATTTTTAAATTTTATCATAAAGGTGATGTACAAAGGGGTTATAGTTACATAAATCAGGTAATGAGTGATGCTTTTAAAACAAATGAATAAAAACAAGAAACACCTTACCCATGCTTAATATATAGAACACTACATAGAAAGGAATACTGCAAAAAAAAAAAAAAGAAAAAGGAATACTGCAAACTTCCTCAACTAACACAGATGAAATATAGATACCACCGCAAAGTTTTCATAAGAAGTGACACTGAAGCCAGATACTGGTGGCTCAGGCCTATAACCCTAGCTACTCAAGAGGCCGAGGTCTGAGGATCACAGTTCAAAGCCAGCCTAAGAAGCAAAGGCCACAAGAGTCTTATCTCCAGTTAACCAACCAAAATCTAGAAGTGTGGCTGTGGCTCAAGTGGTAGAGCACGCGCCTTGAGCAAAAAAGCTTAGGGACAGCACAAAGGCCTGGAGTTCAAGCCCCAGGAGTGGCACACAAAAAGAAACAAAAATCTCCAAATAATCCAGGGATTCTGAAGAGCGATTCTGTCAGACGAAAGATAGCTCTGAAATACTGGAATTGGATAATGCTTATGGTAAAAATGTCTTTTCTTAATGCTTGTATTTCTTCCTTCAAACAGACTGTGTATGCTTTACCAACCATTGCCTTTGCATTTGTATGTCACCCCTCGGTCCTGCCAATCTACAGCGAGCTGAAAGAGTAAGAGACCTATTCGATTTTTCCCATCTTCATCATTTTCTACCTCTCACCAATAGGCACGTTCTGTGTTAAAATAAATAGGCTTCTGCCTTCTGCCATTCTTGAGCCAGTTCAATATTAAGAAAAAATCAGAAATCTGCAGTATTTTCTGGCCACCAATATGAAAAAGTAATCAACTACCTTGCATTTTCAGTTGCTTTGACTTTTCAGATACTATATTCCTTAGAAGAGCTCAAATATTTGCACTGTTTTTTTTTATTGTGAAAATACTGTACAGAGGGGTTACAATTACATGGGCAAGATAATGAGTACATTTCTTATCAAGCATTGTAGCCTCCTCCTTTGTTTCCCCTTCCCATCCCTTCCCAGCCTTCCCCTGTGCCCTCACCCAATCTTCCTCCCCCTCTCCCCCACCAAAGTTGTGAAGTTTGTTTTTCGACATAAGGACTTGTACATCTCATTGTTGCAATGGATCCATCTGTATCCATATTTAAACGATTTGTTTTTTCCCTTCCCCCCCACAAATTATACCACCATCAAACACAGTGAAAGCAGGGGTTATACCGTGGGGGAGGGACATACAAAGCAACAAAGAAATAATCTTATAAATGTGTTAGAAACAATCGCATGAAAGAAAAAACATTTGAATACATATCTTAGGGTTCATTTCCCTAACATCACCTTATCTGACCTTTTCTGCTTGACTCAGACATATACTAGTTATTGCAAATAAGGGAAACCATGGGATCTATGTTTCTTTGGGCCTGGCTTACTTCACTTAATATAATTTTTTCCAAGTCTTTCCATTTCCTAACAAATGGGGCAATGCCCTTCTTTCTGATGGAGGCATAGAATTCCATTGTTGCACTGGTTTTTTGTTGTTGTTGTTACTCATACTTATTTGCAGAGTTGATAATATTTTCAGGATGATAATCTTCAGGTTGATCTAATTATAAACTGCTAAATATTGTCTCAGATTTGCCTGGTGGTTTAGGTAGAGAAAAAGCTGATAAATATAAAAAGTGAGTGCTAAGTCCACAAGCTAGAAAAGAAAAAGAATATTTTTGGCGCCTTGGCCTTATTAAGATGGCTTTATTTATTATTTATTTAGTGCCAGTCCTGAGGCTTGAACTCAGAGGCTTCTCACTGTCTTTGAGCTTTCATACTCAAAGCTAGTGCTCTAGCTTTTTCAGTCTCAGCACCGTTTCCGCGTTTTTTTGGTAGTTAATTAGAGATAAGAGTCTCATAGACTTTCTTGCCTGGGCTAGCATTTTTTTTTTCTTCTTTGTTGGTTGTGGGGCTTGAACTCATGGCATGGATACTGTCCCTCAGCTCTTCAGCTCAAGGCTAGCGCTCTACCACTTGAGCCACAACACCACTTCCAGCTTTTTCTGTTTATGTGGTGCTGAGGAATCGAACCCAGGGCCTCATGCATGCAAGGCAAGCACTCTACCACTGAGTCACCTTCCCAGCCCATTTGAACTATGATCTCAGCCTCCTGAGTAGGTAAGATTAGAGGCATGAGCCATCAATGCCTGGACTGATTTTATTTTTAATTGTCATTTTAGAGTAGACTGAAATTGCTGATCAATTTCTGATGTGTTTGAGTTTTAACCGATTTTCATCAGATTTATTTATGAGTTCTTCCTCTTTCATATTTAATAGCTACAATGCCAAAATTCAAAAAATCTATACCTGTCTAATTACACATAAATTATTTCTCCTTCCTGATCCTATATCTTGGAAATTTAAATTGCTATTTGACACCTTTTAAATGTTATGTTCCAGCTGTTTGTATCATTTTCAAGTGTCTACCTTTCAGTTTTCCAATAAAAAGTTCCTAGGGCTATCTATTTTCTCCTATGAGTATAGATTCATTATTTGAGCAATTAAAGAAATATAAAAGGGGGGAGGGGGGAGATGTAGGGGTGGGGGGAAGGGAGATGGGAAAGGGTAGGAAGGGGAAACAAAGGAGGAGTCAACAATGCTTGATAAGAAATGTACTCATTATCTTGCCCATGTAATTGTAACTCCTCTGTACAGTATTTTCATAATAATAATAATAATAAAAGGAAATATAAAAGGAGCCAGTCTCCAGTGGCTCACGCCTGTGATCCTAGCTACTCAGGAGGCTGAGATCTGAGGATCGAGGTTCAAAGCCAGCCCAGGCAGGAAAGTCCATGAGATGCTTATCTTCAATGAACCACTCAAAACCTGGAAGTGGTGCTGTGGTTCAAGTGGTAGAGTGCTAGCCTTGAGCTGAAGTGCTGAAGGGAAAGTATCCAGGCCCAGAGTTCAGCCTCCACAGCTGACCAAAAAAAAAAAAAGAAAGAAAGAAATATAAAAGGCCAAGTACCAATTGCTCACTCCTGTAATCCTAGCTACCCAGGTGTCTGAGATCTGAGGATCACCATTAGAAGCCAGCCCAAGTAGGAACATCCATGAGACTCTTATCTCCAGTTAACCATCAAAACACAGAAGTGGTGCCGTGGCTCAAGTGATAGAGCCCTTGCTTTAGTGAAAAAGCTCAAGGACAGCACCCAGGCCCCAAATTCAAGCCCCAGCGCATTCACGTGCACACGTGCACATACACACACACACACACACACACACACACACACACACACACTACACAAAAGAGGTTGTCCTAACTCCCAGTAAACTTGACCTGAGAGGCAGAGCCTACCCCATCCATCACATCATCATGGAGCTATTTCTGTAAGATGTACAGACTTGTAGTTCCATCCCAGAAGCTACTCTGTGGGAATACAGTTCTCCCGTAATTTGAAAGACAAAGCGCCCAAGGCCAACTTCCAGCTCTGCTCTGGGGTAGAGAGAGGAACATTTGAATATTTTCTTTCTTAGTGCATGGTTGATGTAAAGATTAAAGCAAACACAAATATTTTTTTAAAAATACTGTCTGTCCTTCAGATGAGAACATAATATTCTTTTCAAAGCACAGTGAAGAACAGTCAGGGAGGGAAGTTCACGGCTCTCTGCTTCACAGCACCCATCTGGTAGGAAAGTAGTCCAGCTGGTCAGCTATGTCCTAACCCAAGGGCAGGATCATCAAGTTAAGTATATTTTTCAGCATTAACCCAGGGGTTAAATTCAATGATTTTGTTGTTTGGGATGCTGGTCCTAGGACTTGATCTCAGCGTGCTGCCCCTGAGCTATTGTACTCATGGCTAGTGTTCTACCGTTTGAGCCACAGCTCTATTTCCAGCTTTTTGGTGGTTAATTGGAGATAAGAGTCTCATGGACTTTCCTTCCCTGGGCTGGCTTTGAATTCTGATCCTCAGATTTCAGCTAGGCTGACAGAAGTGAATCACCAATGCCTAGCTCAATTCAATGATGTTAATTTTGCAAATTCCTCTATCTTTGTTCACAGTCGATCACAGAAAAAAATGCAGATGGTTGCAAATATCTCCTTTTTTGCCATGTTTCTGATGTACTTCTTGACAGCCATCTTTGGCTACTTGACTTTCTATGGTAAGTGTCACTCAACCAACACAGACAGGTAGGTATTTGTCAGTCAATTTGTGAAGATCTACACTAGAATACTGGTTAACAAACACAAAGCTATGCATTGGCTTTGTTGAGGGTGGGATGGGGAATCTTTATAGCCAAATGTTGGGGGTTCCTTTTACACGTTCATGCAAAATAGAATAATTACTGAAACGATATACTATCATTTCCCCTCTAATATTGTCTTTAGGAGAAACTGCATTTGGAAGAATGCCATACTTACTCAGGAAAAACTTCAAAGCTGCATCAGAGAAGGCTTTCCTAATTGACACTGCAAATTGGGTCAGGTTCCATTAATAGAAAAAAGAGACAGAGACTGATGTTGAAAGTGAGAAAGCTGAGAGCTCCAGTCATGAAACTCCTCATTAATTAAAAATAAAATGCCTAACTGGTCACCACAATTTGGATCCTTGCAAATAGAAGAAGAAAAAAATGAAAAGTTTAGAGTCTAGGTGCTGGTGGCTCATGTCAGTAATCCTAGCTACCCAGGAAGCTGAGCTCTGAGGATCACAGTGCAAAGTCAGCCTGATCAGGGAAAGTTTGAGACTCTTAGCTCCACTTAATCAGCCAAAAGCTAGAAATGGAAATGTGGCTCAAGTGGTAGAGAGCCAGCCTTAAGCAAAAATGTAAGGGACAGTGACCAGGTCCTGAGTTCAAGCCCCAGGACTGGCATACACACACACACACACACACACACACACACACACACACACACACACATCACCCCTATAAATTATTCTGATACTTCAATACATTGCCTTCCTTGTCCGTTGGCTTAGACATTTGATCTAGGGAAATCACCGCTCAGCAGTGTTCTTTGTCCTCTATTCCCCTCATTGTAGGAACCGTGCAGTCAGACCTCCTTCACAAGTACCAGAGACACAATGATATTCTCATCTCGACAGTGCGGCTGGCTGTCATTGTTGCTGTCATCCTCACAGTGCCGGTGTTGTTTTTCACAGTGAGTATTAGGCCTCTGTGCAGTCTGAGAAAAGCTGGCCTCTCATCTTGCCCTCTGCTCTCAAACCTCCTGAGACCTACCATGGGGGAGGGGAACGAGGCCATGAGACCTCACATTCTGGTTAGTGTTATCTCTGCGGACTGAACCTTTCTTTTTCTTTTTGCCAGAACTGGGGCTTGATCTCAGGGCCTTGTGTTCTTGCTTAGCTCTTGTGCTTAGGTTGGTGCTCTACCACTTGAGCCACTTCTATACTTCTGGCTTTTTGCTGCTTAGTTGGAAATAAGAATCTCTTAAATTTAATCCTCAGATCTCAGACTTGTATGTAGCTAGTATTACAGGTCTGAGCTACCAGTACCTGGCTGTGAATTGAATTTTAATTCTAATTCTTCCACTCTTTTTGTTTTTGTTGTTGTTTTATTTTTTTGTACCAATCCTTGGGCTTGAACTCAGGGTTTGGGCACTGTCTCTTAGCTTTTATACTCAAGGCTGGTGCTCTATCATATGAGCTACAGTTTCATTTTCCCCACACACACTCTTTATAGAGAAACAATGACAAGGAATTTGAATCTTGGTTATTCAAGACAGGATAATATAGAGGAACCCAAAGAGAACACCAAATCAAAGCTCAGTTAAAATAAAGACAGAAATTACTTGACTCAAAGAAAAGGGAAACTCTTGCCTGAAAATGCTTTCCAGTTTAAGTGAAGACCATATATCTCCCAAACAGTTACATTCTCTTTAAACCTGGTTTTTCCAGGCACTGTAATCCTACCTACTAAGGAGGCTGAGATATAAGAATCATCATTTTAAGCCAGCTGGGGACAGGAAAGTCCATGAGATTCTTACCTACAATTAACCACCAAAAAGCTAGAAGTAAAGCTGTGTCTTAAGTCATAGAGCATTAACTGTGAACAAAGAAAGAAAGAAAGAAAAAGAGAGAAAGAAAGAAGAAAGAAAGGAAGGAAGGAAGGAAAGAAAGAGGGAGGGAGGGAGGAAGAGAGAAGGAAAGAAGGTAGAAAAGAAGAAAGGAAGGAAAGAAGGAAGGAAGGAAGGAAGGAAGGAACTCAATCACTAAGTTTACGAAGCATTCAGCAATAAATCACTTACTGGCCTGAGAAATGGAAGTTTTAAGATGAATTATAGAATCTTTGTTTTCTTTTCCTGAAGGTTCGTTCATCCTTATTTGAATTGGCTAAGAAAACAAAATTTAACTTATGTCGCCATGTCTTGGTTACATTCATCCTCTTGGTGGTCATCAACTTGTTGGTGATCTTTATCCCCTCCATGAAGGACATCTTTGGAGTTGTAGGTATGGCTTTATGACTTCAAATATCATTCTACAACATACCACAACTGCCTAAAGTTTAAGTTTCATAATAATAACCCTGAACTTTCTTCTCTCTCTGTGTTCCTTTTGTTACTTTTAGGTGTTACCTCTGCAAATATGCTTATTTTCATTCTTCCTTCATCTCTTTATCTAAAAATTACAAACCAGGATGGAGATAAAGGCACGCAAAGAATTTGGGTATGTCTCTTGGTAACCCTTCTCATATTTCTAATTCGTTTTTAACTAAAATTTAGTAAATAAATAGGTAATCTCTCTACTGGCTACTACCATTGTCAGTTGCCTTGAAGAGAGACAGTAGACCTACAATTCTACTTCACTTTGAAAGTCATAAAATTTCACATCAAACTCTTGTCCATTCTCTCAGGAGATAGATAGATAGATAGATATTTCTGGTTTTGCTCTTCTTGTGTTTTAGTTTGTGTGGGCAGCTAGGAGAATGGATCTGTAGACTTCTATTTCTACAGCATGATTTCTTGTCATTAACAAGATAAGAAGAGGAGAGGGACAATAAGATGTGATACAATCCAGTTTCTGTGTGTGAGTGTGTGTGTGTGTGTTTGTATTTATGTGTGTGTGCACGCACGCATGCACATGCACCCCAGAATTGAGGCTTGAACTCAGGACCTCCTGCTCTTGCTTGGCTTCCTCTCAAAGCTGGCACTCTACAGCAGTTGAAACTTCTGGCTTTTTAATGGTTAATTGGAAATAAGTCTCAGACTTTTCTGTCCAGGCTGATTTGGAGCCTCAATCTTCAGATCTCAGCCTCCTGAGTAGTCAGGATTACAGGCATGAGCCACCAGCACCTGGCTTTAATACAATTTCTGGCCATATAACTATCTTAGAACACAAGCAATGCCTTCAGTTAAAATGTCTGAGTTCACTGAAAGTGACTTAAAGAAATGATTTGACGGAAATGGCTTTGGAGTGAGCAGACCTGGATTGAAAAGCTATCATTCTCTATTGGGCTTCTTGTTTCCAGGGCTGGTGAAGTTCAAAGGGTGTCTTGGAGGTGATATGCTTAGACCCAGGGAGGGAAGCAGGAGCCAGGTGGTTGCTGCCCGACTCCCTTCTGCAACACCCTTGTGCTTGGCCTCAGAGGAGGTTTCTCAGCTGCCTTAGCACATCAGCAGAAGCACTGCCATTACACACATCACCTGAGTTGCCTGACCCAGAGGCTATAGGCAGGAGGGATATCCCTGTACATGTAAGACAACCATCATCAAGTGCCAGGGGCTCACACCTGTAATCCTAACTACTCAAGAGGCTGAAAAAGCCAATGAGACTCTTATCTCCAATTAACTGCCAAAAAGCCAGAAATGCAGTTATGGCTCAAAGTGGCAGGCCCTGAGTTCAAGCCCCAGGCAGAGAGAGAGAGAGAGAGAGAGAGAGAGAGAGAGAGAGAGAGAGACACACAGAATGCTCATCATTGAAACTGGTAGAGCATCAAGGGGTCCAAGAAGATTAGGTTTCCTGAAGCCAGGAAACTTAAATCTTTCTAAGTCTTGCCATAGTTATTTGTAGAAATGAATACGCTTGAATACAGGGAGTCAGCTAGAGTGGAGAGGATGTGAGACTCACCAAGTTTTAGCCCAAAAAAAAGTTTCCCAGTTCAACAATGGTTACAATGAATCCCAAATAGAATGGACCACAAAGAGAGAGGGCAAAGATATCTATGATTTGTTTTCCTTAGTTGGTGTGGAAAGTGTTGGTTGTTTTTGAAATAATATGTGTATTTTATTGCTTCAGGCTGCCCTCTTTTTGGGACTGGGTGTGCTGTTTTCCTTGGTCAGCATTCCTCTGGTCATCTATGACTGGGCCTGCTCTTCAGGTTAGTGATGAAGGCCACTGAGACCAGCCCAGGAAAGAAAAGCTTCCTGTGACCCAACACTCATCCCCCGCCCCCCATCAATCATCAGCAATACCCGCTCCCTCCACTTCCTTTCAAGTTTACAGAAGCAAACAGAAATGTATACGACGCTGGAAATGGAATGATACGGGTGGCACCACAGAGGCCCGTTTCTCTGGGGCCCCCTGTTCCTCTCAGACTCGAGATCTTCATATGGGTTGTGAATTTTTTTTTCCCCTCCAAATGTCATGCAATTGGTTTTTAAATTTTTTTATTGTTATTATAAAGGTTACGTACAGAGGGGTTACAGTTTCATAAGTCAAGTAATAAGTACATTTCTTTTGTTTTTGACAATGTGCATTTCTTCCCTCTCCCCCCTCCTCCCGCCTGCTATACTTCCCATAATCAATTCTTTTTCACTTTCCCAACTCAGTGTTTGGTGGTTTTCATAGTCTCGTAAAAATTGGAAAATGTGGTCATTTGCCATGTTCACTTATTAAATACATCCACTTCTGAAATGATTTTCTTATTAATGTTCGCCTCACACTATCTGTAACTTTTTAGAGGAGAAAAGAATCTTGAATTGTATATATTTTATTTTGTTTTACAGGGAAAAAAAGAATATGGTTTCATAAATAATTTCCCTATTTTTGGTTAACAGCACACAAGGATAGCTGTGGAAGAGCCCTAGGGTACGTGCCATTGCTAGATTAATAACTATTGCTTAATAGTTGAGGTAGTTTTGATCACCTGATGGTAAACTTTGGCCATCAAGACCTGTAGATCCTGCACACCAAGACATTTTCTGTGAGTGTCCCCAGCTAGCAAAGGAAAGGGGTATGAATGCCACCTTAGTAAAGAGATTAAGCTATACATTCAGACCATCTAGTCAATGCAGTTTTGTTTTCCTCTTGGCATCTTGGCTCAGTTACTCTAGTCTGAGTTCACTTCAACTCAAGGACAATTGGGGACCCTACAGTGAAAAGATTGTCCAAAATACGTATGAAAATAGTCCTCAATGCAGCCTGCTTTCAACTGTCCACGTGTTGTTGGAACAGGAAATGTTTTATTAGATGAACAGCCTAGCACTGAATCTTGACCACCAGCTTTCTGCAACAGTGAAGAATGGGGATCTAAACCAAGGATGAGCTAGGCTAGATCATTCCTGTTTTATACTGGGTACTTTAGAGGAGCCAAAAAAATGATTTGTTTTCTATCTATAAATCTAGGTTAGTACAACTATATAAGATTTTTGTACCTTCAATAAGCCTCATTTATATTTTATTTTCTCTGTAAACTCTTTATCTAACCTTGATAGTAACTCTCCAAAGATAGTCTTTGTGAGTACTCTCTCTCTCTCTTTCTCTCTCTCTCTCTCTCTTATATACAGATACTGGGGCTTGAACTCAGAGTCCTGTGTTCTTGCTTGGTGTTTTGGCTCAAGACTGCCACTCTTCCACTTGAACCACACCTCAATTTTCAGCTTTTTTGATGAGTTAGAGTCTCATAGACTCCTTGCTAGTGTAGATTTGAACTATGATCTTCAGATCTCATCCTTCTGAGTAGCTAGGATTACAAGAGTGATAGGAGTCTCTTCTGATCGTCCCCCAGATTGAAAGAGAAGAGAGCCTCAGTGGCTGCGTTGTCTTTTCTTCCTTCCATGGTCTGTCCCTGTATGGGTCCCACAGCCTCTTGAGTTCTCCATTCTCTTACCCCAGTTTCTAAAAGGTGCAGAGGGAAACTATGAAGAGACTGAAACTGAAGAGAGCTTAGGACTGTCTGGCTGGGAGAGGAATGGGTAAGCCCAAGGGAACCCAAAGCAGTGGCCACCACCTGGGATTGGGCCGTCCATACCTTATGTATTGTAAAAAATGGGCATGCTCAATGAGCTGCTGTCTGGGTCCAGGGCTTGGGATTTGAGCTATGTGTGTTCTAGCTGAGTTTTCCAAACACAGAAGTTCACTGAGCAGAGATTCCTTATCTGGCGATAAGTAGAATCTAACTGCAGACAGTTGGCAGACAGTAGGCAATTAGCTTTGGATTCTCTTTCTTCATTCTTTCTTTCTCTCTTTTTTCTTTCTTCTTCCTTCCTTTCCTTTCCTCCCTCCCTCCCTCTTTCTCTCTTTTTCTCTTCTCTGTCTTTGTCTGTGTCTCTCTTTCTCTTTGTCTCTTTCTTTCTTTCCTTCCTTTCTTCCTTCCCTCCTTCCTTCTTTCTTTCTGCCAGTCCTGGGACTTGAACTCAGGGCCTGGGCACTATCCCTTAGTTTTTATTTTGTTGTTGTTCAAGGCTGGTACACTACCACTCAAGCCACAGCTCCACTGCCAGCTTTTTGGTGGTTAATTGGGGATAAGAGCCTCATAGACTTTCCTGCCCAGGCTGGCTTTGAAACATGATCCTTAGATCTCAACCTCTTGCGTAACTAGGATTACAGGTATGAGTAACCAGTGCCTGGCTAATTCTGTCCCTTCTCAACTCCCGTCCCCATAGGCCTTTGTTCTCACATGGAACTGCCCCCTCCTTTTATAGACTAATGTCCCACACATAAGGTAGGCATGGAAGCACCTGCTGTCATCCTTTTGAGAGAGAATGAAAGGTTGTTTCTTGCATTGCATCATTGTAGCTTTATGTAAAGCCCAGACACAGATGAACAAAAGTTCAAGCCAAGATGAGATCACATGATCTCCATGTAAATATTCAACCTAGGAAACCTTCAGTCTGCCCTGTTCAGAAGTATGCTCTACACTTGGAAAACCAAGTAAAACAAGGCTCAGTGAATCTCCAGAGCTTGCTGTAGTGCTCCAAGCAATGAAATCTTCATTTCAAGGTAGTAGGGGAAAATTACATGAGAAAAAAACTAACAAATCTTTAAAAAAAAAAAAACCAAAAACTTAGCTTAGTTTGCAAGCTCTAACTCTTTACTTTTCTACTACAGTTCATTTTTATATTCACCAAGTGAATTCAGAAAATGATCCTGAGTTCTAGGATGTTGTGATGTTTTGGGGCCGTTGGCATTCTGTGTGTGGGTATAAGAAATGTATTATTCAAAATTGTATTTATTTTGAAGGCAGCACATTGTTTTGATGTCTGTGATACCACTTTAAGAAAAAAAAACCCCTTTGTATGACTGTAATTTGAATAGCCTTGATCCTACTGTCCAACGTCACCAGTGAATTCCTTGGTTGGTGTGGGATGAGCTGTAAAGTGTATACGGCTCTTTGAAAAGAGTGAACTGGTAGCCAAAACACATGAGTCATAGATGGTGGATTGAGTTTGGACAGTACAGTCATGTGCTGAAGAAATTTGTTCTACTGAATTAGGAGAATAAAGACAACTATGCCGGAGCCACAGGAAGCACCCTCATGTACGCTGGTAGGTAAGGTCTCCACTAGTAACAGCTCCATGTCCTCCAGCTAACCATCAAAGAATTCAGTCAACCTCCAGTTGGTTCAATGTTCCTACTGGAAGTGGAGGTAACAAAATATGTGCAGGAAGAAAATCTTTCTTTCTTTCTTTCTTGGCATAGGCATCTCCCCCACTCTGTAAGGAGATAATGTTCTAAAAGCTGGTAGATGGTTGATTTACCATCTGGAATGTGTTTCCTTCCTTCCTTCCTGCCTTCCTGCCTGCCTTCCTCCCTCTCTCCTTCTCTCCCTTCCTCCCTCCCTCCCTTCCTTTCTTTCCTGCTTTCTTCTTTCCTTCCTTTCTTCCTTCTTCCTTTTCCTTCTTTTCCTTCTTTCCCTCCCTCCCTCCCTCCCTCCCTCCCTCCCTCCCTTCCTCCCTTCCTTCCCTTCTTTTAGAGAGAAATAAGAAGAAATTTATTGTAAATGCAGTTGTAAAGAAAATACTGAAATATCAGGACCCAGTTCTCCACAATTGTGCTTAGCATGGGGGAGATAAATTCTATGCTTTTTGTTGCTGCTGTTGTGTTGAGTTTGAACTCAAGGCCTGGGCACTGTTCCTGAGCTTTTGTTTCCTGGGCTCACCGCTTGAAGCTGTACTTTCTGCTTGGTGGTTAATTGGAGATAAGAGTCTCATGGACTTTCTTGAACCGTGATCCTCAGATCTCAGCTTCTTCAGTAGCTAGGATTACAGGTGTGAGCCACCAGTGCTTGGACCTACGTTCCTTTTAAAAAATGAATTCTCACCCATTGGTGCATGCTTGCCTAGCATGCACAAGACCCCGGATTGGATTCCCAAAATAATGAAATAAAATGAATTGTGTACTAGAAGATCTTCACTGGTGAAGAAGCTATAAATAGCTCTAAATTTCAATTCTTACTCAGTGGGGGCTATATGGAGGGGGATGATTTAGCTGGAAGGCAGCAGAGATGGGTAAAATGATGAGATATTTGATTTTTATGCCTTAGAACAAAACCTTTTAGTCTCCTCTTTTTACCCATTTCAATGGCCTGAGAATAAGAAAAGACAGGCTTTTAGAATATAATTGCCCTGTTCAAGTAAATATGCAGGTGCTTTGAAAGCAAAGATACTGACATATGTCCTTGAGCAATACTAAAAATGGTTTTCCTTGTGGATGGCAGATGGGAGAACCTACCAGCAACAGAACATACTTCCTCTAGGAGACAGTGAATTATTTATACCAATAGAAGGTGTTCAGGTATGAACTAAGGGCCGAGTGACTACCAATTGGAAAACAATTGATAAGTCTGAAAGGAAAAGTGGCTAGAAAACTCAAATTCTAAAACCTTCCTTCTTTAGCGTTCTCTCTGAGGAAGGGCCATAAAGCTGAGCCTCTGTGAACATGGGGTCAAGAATCTATGCAGATGAAGCCTACAGTGGGAATATTCCTTTGTATGTAAATACATTGTATATAAATAGGAGGCTGAATATTTTTGCAGTTGTTGACCTTCACTGAAATAGAAGTCACACGAATCTGCATCTTAGGAATCAATGTTCTCATAGATACAAGTGGTTTTGTTTGAGAATTAGAAACACTTCTTTTTTTCTTCCATACTTATCTCCGTGTAAACCTGGACATGAAAATTTTCCTTCATTGTGTAGGAAAAAAAAAAAGTCTGAGAACTTTGGCTGTATTGGTTTTTCTTATGCTGCTATGGTATTAAGATCAATTATTTAAATAATAGTCCTCTGAGCTACAAGTAAGGAATGTGTAGATCCAAACCATTGTCATATAAAAATAAATATACCCCAAATGACAAGTGGTTTCTTTGCCAAGTTCTTACACTGTTAACATGGAGTCCATTCCCTAGTGTTTCATGAAAACAGAAGTTACAGAGAAAGAATTTTTGTTTTTGTTTTCAAAA